TATGTGCAATTTATTAGTTTAATTTAGAGAGTGTTTCCACATATGTCACACCTTTAAAGTATAGCACTTATACTGCTATTAAATTTATGTATAATTCATATAGATAATCCAAGTATATCTGGGTATCTGTCGATGTACATATATGACCTCTTAGCAGGAACAATGCACGAACAATAGCAATATATGTTTAGTAATGCCTACAGGGGTCCATTATTGGGACAGTAGTTTAGTAAGAAATGTTTAAAATACATACTTATGTCACTTTTTAGCTAATTCTCTGCCTCTTTTGCCTTATGAAGATACACAGCTTGAAGAAAAACCCATTATCATAGTTCTTAACATCTGACAGTCGAGCATACATGTTACAATTTGAGTCAATTCAGACTGACACACTTTTTTGCGCTTATTATATGGAATCAGCTGCACAAAGTTTGTAAATCAGAAATGCTACATACAACACACATAGCCTAGAACCAACATGAAATTTACTCAAGCACTAATTGATTAAATAATTCATCAATAACAACTTTAAGATGTTTTTTTCTTGTGTCACCAATAATAATAATAATAATGTCTACATCTGATGCCATACTTAGCTTGTTAATCAAAGTGAACCCACAGCTATGTCGAGATATGTTGCTTTCTCAGATCTCAATAAGATTAATATCTGGATCATTCTGGGCTGAAACGATTCCTCGAGTAATTAGAGTACCTCGATTATTAAAATTCCTAGAGGAAAATTTACCTGCCTCGAAGCTTCGTTAATTTATACTTTATTATTTAGCGCACCGTGCGGTGCGCAGAGCTCTCACTTCCGCCTCTGAGTTGTTGGCGAAAGCGGCATAACGTCCAATCTTCAAGTTCGGGTGGGGATTTTATTGTTTAGTGATAATGTCCGGGTTTTCGTCGGTTTTGTGGGACCAACAAGCATCCTTAAAATGACTGGCACGATGCCTGGAGTACGGCAGCCTTTCTGCTCCCAGAGCTTGTGCCTAGTGGCAGTGAAGAGCACGGCGGGTGTATTTATACAGGTAAACAGATGGACTGAACAATCCCTGGAGCACGGCAGCCTTTCTGCTCCCAGAGCTTGTGCCTAGTGGCAGTGAAGAGCACGGCGGGTGTATTTATACAGGTAAACAGATGGACTGAACAATCCGTGGAGCACGGCAGCCTTTCTGCTCCCGGAGCTGCTGGTTCAGAGCGAACGGTGTTATGGATCAACTGGTGGCTAAATAAACTAGTGGTGGCAGCTAGTGGCAGCTGGAAAAGACTGATGTTTCTGTGGGCGTGGCTTTTTAGGACCCCTTTACCGAACCAGGAAGTAAACAATGCAATAAGCTTAAAGAACTACAAATCTTTGCAAAAATACTATCCGATTCCGTAAAACAACCACTAAGATCTCGGGAATAACTAATTAGAAAGACTTTATTGGTCTAATATGGTATGTTGCCTTTTTTTTTTTTTAAAGTTAATCTGCAAAACCACCAAAACGTGTAAATTACGCAGAACTTGTCCTGACTTATGTGTTGCTTCAGAGGTTTAAACTCGTCAAAGGAAGATCGAAATAGATCTCGATGTGGCATGAGCAGATCTCAAAGCAAAAATTATTCCCTGAAAGCCGACATAAATGTTGAAGAGCCTTGGGATTAAAAATGAAATGTTTAAAAAGATCGACTGGCTGTGTAATTTTTTCACATATTCCTCATATTGCAATATTTCAAATAGGTATCCACAGAAACTATAGCGAAATCTTTTTAACTGCTTCTGTAATGTTACACTTTATTTCCTAGCTCATTTACAGAAGACATGGCTACCGCAGATCTACGTGGCAGTGTAATTTCTTCCTTGTTATTTTTTCTCGTCTTTATTCTTTTCATCAAGTGGCCGTAATTCTCAACCATATGAGACATCGCTGAAAAAAACAACTGTCTTATATACTTTTACATCAGAAACAGGTTAAAATCTTCACTCAAACTGAGATTCTGAAAGTGCCACCAATTAATCCAGGCCTGGTTCTGGTTCTTAAAGCGCGGGGTGTCCGTTAGATGACAATCAATGACGGGTAGGAACATCGGACTGTCAGCTATCCTCATAGCTTGGTGGTTAAAACGGCGCTCTTGGAACTCAGCGACCGCTGGTACGAAGTAGTTAGCAGCGCCATAGTCTATTTCTCTTTTTGGACCAGTCTGTTTTATTGTCTACAAAAATAAATAATATAATTCACTTGCTGCCAACATTTTGGAGGTAGTGTTGTTTAACGGATTTGCCAGACAAACTTTAACGGTAAGAATATTGTCAGATTACCAAGGTGCACAGCTTTGCTTCTGCAGCCGAGTGAAGTCTTAAAGTGAAAACGAAATAATGTGGCTTCCATTAATTGAACAATGAATTAGTTTACATGATATTATAACTGTTTATATTTATTGATATGTTTGCGAGCATGTCAGTCGACATAAGACTGAACAGACGTAAAATGATCGTCATTACTCTAACAATGTTGGGTGGTAGTACAAATTCTGTTTAGTACAGTCTTCTTTGAAGTGGAGTATATTTTAGTGACATTTTAATGTATTCTTCAATGTTCCTTCATACCATTATGTTTTGAAGAGCTCTTAGAGAAAGTAGAGACATTTTCATATCTGTTTATTTACGTTTGTCACGTTTTGATCAGGAAACGACAAAGCCACCTAATTTTTTACAAACATCTGCGTTGAGGACCCTGTTTGGCTGTCACTAGTTAATCTTAATGCGGCTCGTTCTGTTTTTAATTTGATTTCCCTTCGTCAACAGCTTGCAAACTGTTTCCCAGTAGAGAACGCAAGGACAAATACTGTAGATATGGCTCATAATCTGTTGGTGGTATCTGACAGTAATGTAGTAACGTTTATTAATATTATTTCGGCTTGTCAGTTTGGATATCACCACCAACTACATTAGCTGTTAACTTTATATTATTTAGATGAGGTTTTATTACAGTACAACTTATCGACATTACTTGATATTCCTTTCTATTTGGACACGTAAACACCACAAGCAACATCATCAGGTATGTGAGTTAAATTTTATATATGATGACAACCACCTCATTGTTTAGCGACACTAACTGGGTAGAAAGTCGCTAAACAATGCGACACTTACTATTTACCTTTTGCTTCTATGTAATGTAAGCAACTCGCAAAAGAGGTACTTGAGAGTCAATTCCAATGTTTTTCTGATCAGTGCTGGTTATAAAAAGCAGAAACTATCCACTTAGGTTTACATTGCGGCTATTCATGAGTTAGAATTAATGTATTCTGGTGAACCTGAATGCGAATGGGATTGTGTTATTCATTGATCTGGTTATGCTCAAATGCGGTGTTTTCGAAGCGCAATGAATGCTGTTCTTTAGAAAATTGTTTTGAAACATAATTTTCACATGCAACATTAAATATATAAGCGTCCAATGGGATTTATAGTAAAGTTTTGCAAACGGTTTTTTCACGCAAGTAGCATTTTTCAACAGGCATAGACACAGCCACCTACAATTTGGAAACATCTGCGGTGCGCATAGGTTTCAACCAGTTGATTTAGCCACCAGTTGATCCATAACACCGGCGGGAAGAGCGCTGAGGAGTATTTATACAGGTGAGCAGATAGACTTAGCACGGCGGGCGGCTGAGTAGTTAATGGTGACAGTGTAAGTGTAGCTTTACGGACGAACCGCACAATAAATTTCATCGGTCTCAACAAACGAGTGGCGGAAATCATCATGGCGGTACATGGCTGGTAGATGAGCTTGAGTGTGACGAATGAAGGTGCCCTAAATATCCGGTATTGCTCCCCCCGCCCGTTCTTACGTTTGTCACCTGGTCTACCGTCAGTCCCCTGGTCTATTTCCTCCCCTCTACCCCCATCTTAAGTTCGTTCACCCGTCTGCCCCGTTATGAAAGATTTACCAATATTTTATTTTATTTTTTTTTATCCGATTACTCGATTAACCGTAAGAATTATCGATAGATTACTCGACTACTAAAATATTCGTTTACAACAGCCCTAGATCATTCCGATAAGTCTGATTTTGAGAACCACACTGATAAGACGACAACTAAAAACAAAATGGCTGCCAAGACATAGAGAATGGAAAAAATCTTGTCTACTTTCTTGGCGACTCTGGTCCAGTAACCATCCTTCTTTTCTTCAGACTCTTTGTCAAGAAAAGTTTTTTTCATCTCTCCAAGCTCATCTGAGACTTTCTCCACTGCCAGGAATAACTCAGTCAGTTGGCTGCTGCTGTCCTGCAAGAATCAGAGTCAGAAGTTATAAACCAGATAATGGGTCATCACATTGCTTATCACAAGAGATAATCTAATTATCTGTTTGTTTTTTACAGATAACTTCTGCTTCTTATTTCTGCTAAAGCAGCCACCCAGTTGTGAGCAACTGAACCCTGAAATCAACCCCTGAAGAGATTACACTAACCCCTTTGCACATAGATGCTGTTTGATTGGTCATATTGATAATCTCATCAGTGGTGGAGGCAGTGGAGGAAGCTTTTATTATTTCTGGAAGAAAGTGAAAGATAGTTGAGGGTGAACACAACAGCTTCATGGATCTGTGTATGTCAAGTAAAAAATGTTTAACACAAATTATCAGAAACTACAATCAGATTGAGCTGAATTTATTCTAATCTCGTAGACAGCAGTGAAAATTGTTTATATTCTTGGTTCTTACGACGCTTGACACTCTCTTTCTTGCTTTCCAGGGATGAAGAGTCTTTTTCCATCAGATAATTCAAGAAAATGGTCTCCAAGAGGCCTAGCAGCATCAGAGCAAAAATCCCCATGCAGAAAATCACTTGGAGGAACACAGAACACATTATGGTGAGAATGTTAAGTCATATGATCAATTCAGTGGCAAATGCAGGAAACATTTTTGATCACCAGGAGCAACACAATAAAAAACCTGCCAACCTATGGATGTTTTCACAAATTATGATCCAGAATGAAATGTCCCCAGTGGTTATATCGCAGAAGGCCTTCTGATGAGTAACTTTGATCAAATGAGCAAACTCATAGGAAAACAAGCATGCAAAGTGATTGTCAAAAATATCCATATCCCTTTAAGATGTTTATATTTTCTTATTAACTATTTTGTTACCCCTATTTTATTAGTAATCCCCTTTAAACAACAACAACATCAAAAAAACATAAGTCATCTCATTTAAAGTTTATCATAAGTCATTGATGGCAGTGGATGCATCCAAGATTTGGAAGAAGATGCTCTGTTCACATAAGAACAAAATTAAACTGTTTGGCCTGCTAGCAGGATGCTCTTTGCTGCACAATGCTTTCTTTAGCAAGGAAGGAAAAGCTGGTCAGACATGATGGGAAGCTAAATACAGGAAAAACCTAGACTAAGACTAGAGTAGAGATTCACCTTTCAGCAGAACAATAAAATTAAACGTTCAGTCAGAGCTTCAATGGAATGAATGAGATCAAAGCACATTTGTGTAATGAAATGACCTAGTCAAAGTCCACACCTGGTAAAAAAGTCTAACCGGTAGGTTAAATTTCTCCACTTTGTTGGTTAATCACATAAAAAACTAAAATGTTTTCTGCCAAAAAGTTGGAGGGGTGGTAATACCTTTGTATGTTACCTGGAGACAAGACAGCTGAGATTTTTACCTATAAGTGGAATCCTGCTTGTAGTAAAAGGTAGGATTTCAATGAGAATCAGCTGCATCACTGTAACAGCAAGTAGCACCGTGATCTTGAAACTAATCTTATCTCCACCACCGGTCGGCATCAGGAGGGAGACAAAGTCCAGACACAAGAAGAAGAGGACAGGCAGCAGGAAGTTGACGACATAAAGTGCTGACTTCCTCTGCATGGTTACCTGTAAAAAGGTATGTTACATTGTTAAAATCCCCTTTTCTTTATGATTTTTTGAAAAGCCATCACACTTAGCTATAAGGTGAGTAGGTAAAAGCAGAATAGCAAAGATTCTTACACAAAGACAGAATACATTTTTATTCAAAAGGTGGTATTAAGTAAATTTACATTTTACTAAAGGCAAATCGGTTTACACTGATTATCTAATATTGATGGAGACTGCACACATTAAGTTAGGAAAGTGCACAACTCTACATTTTCTTATGCCTGTCCACAGAATCTATTGTAATGTAATCTATTAAGGACTTTACCTGAGCCTGGCAACAGAATGAATAGAAAAATTTGCATCAGCAACTGAAAATAACATTTCAGACAAATCTGATCTCTGTCAGTGCAGGGAGACAGAAGCTGAGTTCTTCAGCTTGTCTGATTCAAAGATCTTCAATTAGGTTGGCAGCATAGCTTGGCTCAGCAGAGAGAAAGTAAAACAGAAAATCTTTGCCTTATGTGACCTGTCTTCAGAATACTTACAGTGTAAACGAAGTAAGTTTGGTTGGAGGCGAAATATCTGACAGTTTTCTTGGTGACTGAGAGAGAGAGAAACTCCCACTCGTACTGCGTCCAGATTGAATCATGAGACCACTCTGTGATCATTTCATTGTCTTCAATTGTGCCAATCAATAATTCTTCACCTGAGACAGAAAACCCCCCAGATTGATTCAGTAATAATTTTGAGAATACATTATGCAATTTCAATAGTACCATTTGAAAATCTAGTTACTACAGAATAACATGCAGAGTGGTTAATGGGTTAAGTGTCAATCCAGTAAAAAGCCATGCAAGAATTTCTCAGTAATCGAAAGTGACTTACAATACATTGATTTTAAAAGGATGCAGCTAATTTTTACAGACATTGTTGAAACATGTTTAAAGCATGTGACTTTAGTCCTGTTTAAACAGGATTAAAAGCACAAATGCAGGCTATTAATACAGCATTAAAACTGTTACACTATAAATGGCTGTTCAGGATATATGTAGTGTCTGTGAAACTATCTCAACTCTATGCTTATGCATTTCTACTTTTTTCCATTCTTTTACGTATTTTTTCTTCTTGTTTTAGCTGAATTTTATTTTTTATTTCATTTTACACCCTGAGTGTTGATTGTGGGTGAGGAGTGTTCAATGTTTATTTCAATCATGTTTTCTATGTTTCATATCTGCAAAATATCAATAAATATATTGTTAAAAATGGTTGAATAGGGCTTACTGGTGTATGAGAGAGACCTCACGGTCATTTTGCAGCTCTGAATATCAAAGGGAAAGTGGAAGATTTTCATCTTGCAGGTGCTGATCACTAATTTATCATCAGTGTGTAATACCCAGCCATGCGAAGTAACTCTGAGAAAAGGATTCGGTACGGCTTTATCCTTTTCTGTCCTGTAAGAGAATAAAAAAGACTTAGCGGCAACATTCAGTCAAACATCTCTTTCATACTATGTCATAACTTGACCTTATTACATAATTATGTAGATTAGGTTTGCATAACACTGAAGCTGAACGACTTTTTTAAATGGAAATCAAAATAATTGGTAACACTTTATTCGAAGCGTGGTGTGTAAGACTGACATGCCACTGTCATAGACATGACATAACACCTGTGTGAACATGAAGGAGACTTCTTGAATATTTCTGACAGTTGTCATTAAGTATCATTTGATAAATAATGGCACTTTTAATACAAAGTTGACATTGTTTAAAATACCTTTGTTATAACTTGACATTAACCAAGAATAATCATCGCTCATAAATATGTCATAACAAGTATTATCAAAATGAAAAACGTTATGCATCTGTGTATTACTACATTACCCTGTCATTTGTTGTTAGTTTTAACTGTAACCATCATGAAACCATTATAATTGTGTCATTAATATATTTGTCATATTTTGGATATACTTTTGGCCCACATGCATGACACTCTCAGGAGGTCAATAAACTTTAACTTTTTCCAACAATGAATAATGAGATGTGCGTTTTGTCCAGGTATATGGAGACAAGAGTAAACAGGAACACTGAAACAGAGAGAGGAGATGATGAGTAACTTGAACAATACCAGAGCGGGTGAAGGTAATTTTAAAATGAGTTCTTACTGATGTAGACGAAGGTGGTCCTCCAGGGAGTAGGATCCTGCGCTTGGGTCTCTGTATGAGGGAATCCCGAGGGAGGGAGTCGATAGGTTTTCTTGGACGGATCTGTTAGGAACTGCTGAGTGATGGAACCGTTGGAGGGCGGACAGGTTTTCGTGGTGCCGACGTGGAAACAGAGGAGCGGACCGTTACCAGTTGTGTGGATTGAAACAGAGATCTTTACAGAGAGACTTGAAGACGCGAGCAGGAACCAGAGCGGCAAACCGAGTTGATCCAGGAAACCGTAAGGAGAACCTTGGAAAGAAACCACTACAGGTAAGTTTCTGGTTATTAACAACTCAAGGAGACACAGGAGTACAGATCGCTGGTGGCTTGAAGTACCACAGTAGGTCAACACTGAGGCACCAGAGAGCTGGCAACTGGCTCCTCTTTTACTCTGGCAGATGAGGTTGATAGATTGCAGGTGTAGCCGATCACGCAGCAGGTCTGGCTGATCACACAGCAGGTCCATCTTCCTCTGGTGGATAACTATGGGAAGGAAAGAACCCACCACCGAGCCCAAAACCCAGCTCCCTAGCAATTATCCCTCACTTAAGTAAAATGCGACACATTGGACTAGTTGTGGACTATGTGATTTAATGTTAACATATAAAGTTGCAAAACTTTTCAAAGTTTGATGATTAATACTTGTTAACATATTTATGACAGATTATGATTTCTTGATTAATGTCAGGTTGTCACAACAAAACCATTTTAATCTCATGTCATTAGAAATATATTTTTTCTTGGTTAATGACAAGTTATCATGACAAAGACATTTTAAACAATATCAACTTTGGATTAACAGTGTCGTTATTTATAGAATGACACTTAATGACAATAGAAATATTCACAAAGAGACTTTCATGTTCATGACAGGTGATATGTTTATGATAGTGGCATGTCAGTCGCACACCCCTTCAAATAAAGTGTTACCAAATAACTGAATATAATTTTAAAAATGATGATACATTATGTGGTCGCTGAAATGTATCATGGAAAAGAGAAACAATAGTTTGGAATGTGAAGTTTTGATGCTTTCAAACCTGAGATTTTACTTATTTATCTATTTATTTTATGTTTGTTTTATGTCAGTTAAGAAAAAAAATATTTGTCACAATTTATTATGCCTCAGTTTACAAAGTTTTAAGCATAACAAAACTGAGCAGATTTACATTTCTTGAATGACTAAGTCGGGCATCCACAAAGATTCACGTGGAACTACCACAGAGAAAATTCCACAATAGTCCTCTTCATTCCAGTCAATAAATTCATTTATCCATCCCTAAGTAGGGAAAGACAAAACTGAGTCAGTAGTCTGATTTGTCGTCAATCATCAGCTATTTTATTCTAATCTGTTAAATGTGACACTTTTCATAGAATACTCACAGTCATAAAGGAAATGTATGATATGAAGGACTGGTCAGCCTCTCTCTGGAAAAAGAAAAACAAGATGTATGGAAATATTTCTAGTTGTTCAACATCTAGAACAGTTTACATGTAAAAAAAATTAGGGAATGAAAGCTAAAAATCAAAACACTGACAGTCAGAAAATGAACAACGTTCCTGATCATTAAGAAGTGTGTACAAGCTTTTACTGTTCACAGTAAAAGTTTTATCAGCGCAGACACAGAGTCACCGCTGGGCAGTGTGTGTAAACGCACACACTAGATGTAATTCTTTGTTCACAAAGATATATCATTCTCAGAAAAGGCTCAACACCACCTCTAAACGGTCACTTGTATTGGAGGTTCACACTGAGTTTTGCAAGCAGAGCAAATGCAGTGGCTTTTAAGCCTGAGTCATACCTTGGTGAAAAATTAATCCAAAGATGAGTCATCACAGGAGGTTGATATAAATGCAGAGAAAGGTGAACCCCTGTCTTGTTTGAGTGAAAGGAGGCACACGTGAGATGAAGCTGTGACGGCGCGCAAGGTGGTAAATGTGCAGTGCCGTCAGGGGTGTGATTGGTACCCGCTCCCGGCAAGAAGCCGGGAGCTTCTTGGTTGATGGATCAACCAAGCATCAACCATAAACCCATCCTCCATTAATAATTCTGCTCTGCCAATGAAATGCTCAGCAAAACAAAGATGTTTGCAGTCGGCTTATGTAAAAAAACAAGAAAAAAAAAGCAGTAACATTTTTATAATTTTTTTTAAAGTAAAAACAAAAATAAGCCTGGCAGCCCACCAGTCTTATAATACACTTAGAGAAACCCTGCATATGAAACAACTGGTGACGGAGTGACCTGAAAGCTACAGTAAACAATTCTTATTCTTTATAAGACAAGTAGATCTTAACCGAATATTTTAAACCTAGCAAACAAAAATGAACTCAAATAAAAATAAAACGATGACATAAATAAGAACAGAAACTTACCACATCTAGAATGGCATAGATTTCCATTTTAAAGTGAACGTGAACTGCTCTTTTATGATTTTTAACAGGCCTGATCATGGTAAACATTTCCTTATTCTTAGTCAGGTTTAGATGCTGTAGAACATCCCAGTCACTGCAGGATTTTTCTGCAAAAACAAAAAGCACATGTTTGTTCTCCACTATTTACATAGCAAAGGCAAGAGTTTATCATATCATGCTAATAATATATTATGCTAATAATTTGCTGGAACACAGAATTTTGTCTTTTGTGAAATTTTACTTCTTCACTGATAATGGAGAAGTTCTTGCTGTTAGTTCACATTTCGTACAGCTTGAATTATTACAAATGCTTGATTAAAAACTGTGTTGCTAAATAAAGCCTTTGAATAAAAGTCTAAATGAGGTCACTTTGGTTGTTGATAGCTAAGTTAGATATAATGTTAAAAAGTTGTTAATCTGATGAAGAGCAGTATATTATGAAAAAAAAATTAGGTAAAGATGGACAAGAACTAGTGAATACAAATAATACTATTTGACATTATAGTGACAGTCAAATTACATACAAAGCATACTAAATTCAAGATTATCCTTTTCTACTTAAAATCTGGGGAAAAACGTCACCTCAAACTTGAAGCTTTTATAATGTCTTTGGTCATTTTTCAGAGAAATAATTAACAGATGTAACCATCTATTTGTTATTATTCACAATAAGAGGATTGTTCATGTTTGTTTATTGCAGTTTTTGAAAATTTGAGCCACCAATACAACATTTTTCTTCCATGAAGAAGAATGTTGTGAAGACTGGTCTATGTGCTTCTATTGGTAGGAAAGAAAATACTTTAAAAACAAAGTTACCTGGTAGTATCTAATTCGGTTTTACACCTCAGTGATGGCATAGTTACTTTGAAAAAGTAACTTTAATCGGATTACTGACTACTCCTTGAAAAAGTAACTTAGTTAGATTACTGACTACTTGATTTGGAAAGTAACTAAGTTACATTAAAAGTAACGTTTTTAGTTTCTTTCAGCAGCAGCTGACAACAACTCTCCACCACCTGTAAAAGTTACTTTGAGTTTTGCCTATACTTAATTACAAGTTATTTTATAATGGTAACATCAACAATGTGTCTCCAATTATAAGGTTGACCTGAAGGGGAGATTGTTTAACGGTTACAACAGTACAAAAAAAAGTTTGTAAATTGTATGCTCCACTATTGTCTGGAGAACTTTGAGAAGGATTTTAAAGGCCACATTCCCCTACCCCAGCCTCCAGGTTCTGTGTTACGGCCCTGGGTTTGTTGTCAAAGCGCAGCGCACAGCGCTCCTCCTGCAGCTTCACAACTAGGATATCCTTCTGCACAGATTTGTGACACTTATCTTAATATTAATAATTATAGTGCCGTTTAGTTGCACAACTTTACGGACACGTCCATCCTGTTTTCACGTTCATTGTGCTCTTCATATTAGTCTTGATGTTTGCAGTTTTCTGGAGCCCAACACGTCGTTCACAGCAAATATATGAACTTCACATTAACAAAGACACAGCGGGATGGATCATCCGGGAAATGATGGACAGGGAGAGTCTAACGTAAAAGACGTGGATGACAGACAAATTCTGGGATTTATTATGTGTCTCTGCTTATTTCCAAACCCAAATGAGTAACTTCACATTCAAAAACGAGTTCCAAAAAGCGCAACCTGCAACTCATTAAATTTGCAAGAGACTTTAGAAACAAAACAAGCCCAAAGCCGCTTATAATAATAATCGGACTTGGACTCAAAATAGTTCCTGTTTTTCTAGCAACGAAATGCGCATCTCTCTCTTTCCTCCATTGTTTACATTTCTGTCGCTGCTGACACTGTCGCTACAATCCCTAAGATGCGTAGAGGAAATAATAATACAATAATACAATAGAAAATAGTGACACAAAGTGATTTCGATAAGTAACTGTAGTCTGACTACTGGATTTAAAATAGCAACGTGTTAGATTACTCGTTACTGAAAAAAGTGGTCCGACGTCAGTAACGTGTTACAAAGTAACTATGTGTTACAAAGTCAAATGTAGTGATCACTGGTGATTTCATAAATTTTTTGGTCTTACCACTTTGATCAGATCTCTCGCTGGATGTCTGGTTTTCATAATTCGATTGCTGATAACTTGTGGTATTCCAATCTGTTTTATTAAAAAAAAAAAAAAAAATGAGTATTTGTTTGTTATACATTTCAGATCAAACTTTTCATAATTAAGTGGTGCAGGAATGTATTAAACTGATATTAGAATAATAGTGAGAGGGTAAAAGGCTTTGAATACTGACTGGACAATATGACAAATTATCTAAAACTTAATTCATATAAAGAAATAATATGGCTCCAAACAGTGTTGCAGTAAGTAGAGTTGCTATATGTTGATGGCGATAATAGCCCTTCAGAGATGACCTCTAAAATCATTACACAGACATTTCTTACCCAGGCTTTTTGTGGAGCTCAGATTGAATGTCGACTGGTCACTAAGATCATCTTGTAGCTCCAAACTGGATGTTGATCCACCTGACAGAAGAGAATTTGGTTTGGTGCATTTTTATAAATGCATAGTCATGCATTAAAATTTAGATGCAGTAATGAGATTGCCAACAGTAGCTTGCTAAAGTATTTAACATAAATTTTAAAGCCTTGTCATTGAAAGTCAGCTTAATTTGACAGACATGTTTTTTTAGGTTTGCAGTTGATCCATTTAGCTCAGTGGTTCTTAACCTGGGTTTGATCGAACCCCAGGGGTTCGATGAGTTGGTCTCAGGGGTTCGGCGGAGCCTCTGCAACGGAGGTAAAGACACACTTGTGTAAAGTCGTGATGACGTGCCCCGCTTTCCCATCACTTGCTGCAGAGGATCACATTGCATTGCTTAGCCAATCAGTGGTGTGGAGGAGCACCCACACCCCCGCCCCCGCTCAACAGTTTTCAGCAGCGCAGGCGATATTGTATTTATCAGAAGGGTTCAGTGAATGCGCATATAAAACTGGGGGTTCGGTACCTCAAAAAAGGCTAAGAACCACTGATATAGCTAGTCCAACCCAGCATCAAACTCTGACTTTTACTTTTCAAATAAATAAATTCCTCTCTGCAGTTCAAATAAGATTTTGGAAAACTCCTAAATTAAATAATCTGAACAAAAGCAAAATTATAATAGTAATGTGGTTTTAACATACTGGAAAATAAGTTACAAAATCACTCAAAGTGTTAAAATTTACAACGGTCGGAGAGCACCCGGTTGCATTGGGGCCAGTTGGAGGATCCACACCTCAACTCACACAGGCTGACCAAAATTCCTTCCCTGAGCTGGACTGCATTCCTTAAATCCCTCTTTTTATAGCACCAAATCCAGCACTTTAGCTTTGTACTGTTTGACTTGAAACAAATAGTTGTAAAAATGTCCCCTTTTTTTAATACAAATAAATTTTTTTTAAATATTTTTGCCCAAGGAAAGTGGAGGATTTTTTTTTTTAATTTTTTTACATCTGAAGATAAGCTTCAAAACTTTATCCTAAAACTCATCATTAACTGTGAGACAGGTGAAGCCTTAGTGGTTGAAGCAAATGACATTGATAAAAACCAGTCTGCTTTCATAATGAAGTACAATATGACTGCCTTTAAGTATACAAGTCCTCTCAGACAAAAATCATCTCAGCTTACCTGAGAGAACGAGCAGAAAACAGAGGAATGGGAGATCCATGGCCCTGATCTGAGTGCAGCTTCCTCATCTCTGATCTATGATCTGCCAAGGAGGCCAACACCCTCTGCACTTTTATCTCATCAGTGACTATCATTGATTTTATGTTGAAAACGTTCACTTATCATTTTCATTCTGGTTGTGGTCAGTAGCACTTTGCCAGGAAAATGTAAATAGATGAGCAGCCACAAGATGAATTAAGAAAATGTATATTCACTTTATTGACCAGAACTACCCTTTTAGGAGGAAGTGAATGGAGACATCTTAATGTAAGAATTGGCTTAAAATCACATGAACATTAAAAGTAAAGATTTTACATAGGTTTTGAAAGGTTTATACAAAAACCTTTCAGTACCGACTCAAAATTGTTTACTTCTGCAAACTACAATTTTGTTGTCAAAACAATATTTGCTTGCTTTAATTGGCAGCTACTGTTGAAACATCATAAACTGAATAGATTCATGGATGCAAAACAGCTTTCGAAGGACCTCAAGTAAAACTGCAACACAAAGTCAGCGTATGACAACAAACAGCTCATGTAGCTGTTTTCAGTTTCTCCAATCACATTATTCTGATATATATATATATATATATATATATATATATATATATATATATATATATAGTATTTTATGAATTGCTGTGTTTACAGAAATTAACTGAGCTTTGTCCATAAAGTAGATTTTGCATATATCTGGGATCCATATAAGTATAAATTATCTGAGATGGCACAAAAGATTTATTTATGAAAAAATGAACCTCAAATCACAATATGAAGTTTTGAAGTTTTCAGCCACAGAGAGGGATACTTCATGGTTTCATCCCCATTAATTTTTATGTTAATTGTTTACGACTAACTTTTTATTGATTTCCTATTTCCAATTTGTAAATCAATAAAACATGGCTTCTCAATACTGATCATTTTTCAGTGCGGCACACCATGGAGGCTTCGAGAGACCTGGAAACTTTCCAGACTGAAGTCTATAGTCTTCTCTATGATTATGTGAATATTTTCACTTGCGTCATTTTTTGTTGGTCTATTACTGTATTTTTAAGGAGAAACTACAATTTGTGTAGTTTAGAACATGCCATACTGTGTGTAATACTTGGTGAGGCATATAAATACTTGTGATTTACTCTTTCTGAATTCTGTTGTATGTGGAGACAATAAAATTTGTTCTAATGAAATTATGAGTTTTAATCTTTATGTTACTGAGATAATTTCAATATGTTTTTGAAATACACTTCTGTATTCTGTATTAACGGCAACACCAATAAATAATTAGTTTTTATGTTAAATTTGGAGAAAAATATACAAATTTGTCATGAACTGGCATTGTTGAGTACCCAAATACAAAGACGAAAACTGGTGTTTTATGAGTGTTTTTTTAATGATTGATTAGGCTCCACTTAGTTATTGATATGTCCATTAAAGCTGATTTTAATGGTAATTTAACAGGAAACCAACATAAAAGGGTGGTGACAAAAAAAAGGATAGGAGCTGGTAATGTCACAACCCACAATAAATTAACTAAACAAACAAAGTGGCAACACTTTGTTTCTTGAGGACTCCATAATTCAGGCCACATAACCAGATAAATGATTCTTATAAAGCTCACATGGGAAACGTATCTAAACACAACTGTCATTCTTCTTTAAAAAAAATACTTTTACCTTTAATATACAAATGATATTTAAAAAGGCTGCATTTAGAAATCCAATTTTCATTTATCTCCAAAGTTAATGGTCACAATAAAGCAAAGAAGAAAAACCTTTAATTTTATTGGACTGTCTATCAGGGCTTTTATCCAGCAACATGATTCCTGGAATTATCTTACATTTAGATATTAACAAAACCACAGAAATATTTTAGTCATTTTATCAC